CAGGAGCTCAAGAGGAGATTAACTTCAACACCGGTGTTGACTATTCCCGATCCTTCCCGGAGTTTCACTATTTTCAGTGATGCTTCGAGGCAGGGCTTGGGATGTGTCCTTATGCAAGATGGCCAGGTCGTTGTGTATGCTTCCCGCCAGCTTAAGCCGCATGAGCAGAACTATCCGACGCACGACTTGGAGTTAGCAGCGGTCGTTCATGCTCTCAAGATTTGGCGACACTACCTTTACGGCGGTCATTGTGAGATATTCACAGATCATAAGAGCTTGCAGTATATCTTTACTCAGAAGGAGCTCAACATGAGACAGCGCCGTTGGTTAGAGCTCGTCAAGGATTACGACTGCTCTATTCAGTACCATCCGGGAAAGGCGAACGTTGTTGCAGATGCCCTAAGCCGTCAAGTGAAGGGTGATTTGACGTACGTCATTACTCAACAGAGTCCGCTGATTCAGGAGTTTTCCCGGATGCAGCTTCAGGCGATCGATGCACTTCCCATAGCAGTTTCGGGGAGTACTAGTGCCAGTGTCAGTGCTATGCAGCTTCAGCCGACGCTGAGAGAGAGAATCCGGCGAGAACAGGCTTCTGACGAGTTCGTTCGTGTCATGAAGGCCAAGGTTCGCGCCGGAGACGTCGAGGGTTTTCAGCTAGGCGCCGATGGTGCCCTAGAGTTCAGAGGCAGGATCGTGGTCCTGAAAGTTGAGGCGTTGCGGAAAGAGATTTTATCAGAGGCCCATACCGCACCCTATTTGGCCCATCCCGGGAGCACGAAGATGTATCACGACCTGAAGGGGTCGTTCTGGTGGCGAGGCATGAAGAAGGACGTCGCCGAGTTCGTCAGGAGATGTCTTACCTGTCAACAAGTCAAGGCCGAACATAAGAGTCCGATTGGCCTCCTACAGCCACTGCCGATTCCGAGGTGGAAGTGGGAGGAGGTCACAATGGATTTCGTTACGGGATTGCCGAGGTCGTCTGAACATCACGACGCTATCTAGGTCGTGGTCGACAGATTGACTAAAGTCGCGCATTTCTTACCCGTTTCGATGAGGATGTCCTTGGATAAGTTGGCTGAGATTTATACCCGTGGAATCATTCGACTCCACGGAGTGCCCGTCACGATTGTATCAGACCGAGATCCCAGATTCGTCAGTCGATTCTGGCACAGTTTGCATGAAGCGATGGGCACGAAGCTTGAGTTCAGTTCAGCCTACCATCCGGAGACAGATGGTCAGTCAGAGCGAACTATTCAGACGCTTGAGGATATGCTTCGCGCTTTGGTTGTTGACAGGGGTGCTAAGTGGGAGTCGTTGTTGCCGTACGCCGAGTTTGCGTATAACAACAGCTATCATTCGTGTATTCAGATGGCTCCTTACGAGGCACTTTACGGTCGCAAGTGTCGTTCCCCTCTCTATTGGGACGACATCAGAGAGCGACGAGTACTCGGTCCTCAGTTGATCGAGGAGACGGCATATCAGGTCGAGTTGATACGGCAGAGACTCAGGACAGCTCAGAGTCGTCAGAAATCTTCCGCCGATCATCATCGGCGAGACATTCAGTTCGAGGTTGGTGAGCCAGCCTTTCTCAGAGTTCGTCTGATTCGCGGAGTTGTGCGATTCGGAAAGAGAGGGAAGCTGCACCCTCGATTCATCGGTCCGTCCGAGGTTCTCGAACGAGTAGGCGAGGTCGCGTATCGCTTAGCCCTACCTCCCGAGTTATCAGGCATTCATAATGTATTTCACGCATTGATTTTGCGTAAGTACGTGTGCGACCCCGATCATGTCATTCCTCATTCAGATATTC